CCCCCCCAACATTGATTCCGACCCAAAGTGTTCGAGCACTAACCATGCCGAATTAACCATTGCCGCCAGATCTTGACCATTCTGATCCTCAATGCCGTCGTCGGTGTCTCGCAAGAGAGCAGCGCCGAGAAAGCCATCGCGGCACTCCAAGAATATTCGGCCAACGAGGCCAATGTCCTACGAAATGGTCTGGTCACTCGCATCAAGGCGGAGGAGTTGGTTCCTGGCGATATCATCATTGTCAATGTTGGTGACCGTGTGCCCGCCGACTGCCGCGTCATCTCTATCGAAAGCAACGCCTTTGCCGTGGACCAGGCAATCCTTACGGGAGAGAGCGAGAGTGTCGGCAAGGACCATACCGCCGTCCTCCAAGATGAGAAGGCTGTGTTGCAAGACCAGATCAACATTCTGTTCTCGGGTACCACTGTGGTTGTCGGCCGCGCAAAAGCCGTCGTTGTCTTGACCGGCGCCGATACGGCCATTGGCGACATTCACGAGAGCATCACCGCCCAAATCTCGGAGCCGACCCCCCTGAAGCAGAAGCTTAATGATTTCGGCGACAGTTTGGCCAAGGTCATTACCGTCATCTGCATCCTGGTTTGGCTTATCAACATCCCTCACTTCAGCGATCCGTCCCATGGCAGCTGGACGAAGGGTGCCATTTACTACCTCAAGATTGCCGTATCTCTTGGCGTCGCCGCTATTCCCGAAGGCTTGGCCGTGGTTATCACGACGTGCCTGGCCCTGGGAACTCGCAAAATGGCCACCAAGAACGCCGTTGTGCGAAGTCTTCCGTCCGTCGAAACCCTCGGCAGCTGTAGTGTCATTTGTTCCGACAAGACCGGTACCTTGACCACCAATCAAATGAGTGTCAGCAGAGCTGTCTATATCAACGACGCCGGAACCGGTCTCGTGGAGCTCGAGGTTGAGGGAACAACTTTCTGTCCGAGGGGTGCGATCCAGCTCAACGGCCAGAAGGTAGTTGAGCTGCCCCGCACCTCGTCCACCGTTCGCCAGATGACCGAAGTCGCTGCTCTCTGCAACGACTCGAAGCTTGCGTACGATGCCAAATCTGGTGTCTATTCTATCATCGGAGAGCCCACTGAAGGCGCTTTGCGAGTTCTGGCCGAGAAGCTGGGCCCTACCGCACCGGAAAATGCTTCACCCGACACCCTCCTGCATCACGCCAGTGCTCACTACGAGAGGAGCTGCCCTAGACTTGCTACGTACGAATTCTCTCGGGACCGTAAAAGCATGTCAGTTCTTATTCAGAATGGCAAGGAGCAAAAGCTACTCGTCAAAGGTGCCCCCGAGACTGTCCTTGAACGTTGTTCCCATGCCCTTGTCGGAGCGGATGGTAAGCGGAAGCCGTTGGACCGGTCGCTCGCTGAGCTCATCTTGAAGGAGATCACCGAGTACGGTAACCAGGGTTTGCGTGTCATTGCCCTCGCCAGCGTCGACAATGTGAGTGGCCATCCCCTTCTGAAGTCGGCCAAGTCGACGGCCGAATACGCCCAGATTGAGCAAGACATGACTTTTCTGGGTCTTGTTGGCATGTTGGATCCTCCTCGGGTGGAGGTTGCCGCTTCGATTCGGAAGTGCAGAGACGCGGGCATTCGTGTCATTGTGATCACTGGAGACAACCGCAACACGGCTGAGAGCATCTGCCGTCAGATTGGCGTCTTCGGTCCGGACGAGGACCTCAAGGGCAAGAGCTACACCGGGCGTGAGTTCGATAACTTGTCGTCCCAGGAAGCCCTGGAAGTCGTCAAGACGGCCTCCCTCTTCTCTCGCGTTGAGCCCAGCCACAAGTCCAAGCTGGTCGACCTGCTCCAACAGCACGGCGAAGTGGTGGCCATGACTGGTGACGGCGTCAATGACGCGCCTGCTCTCAAGAAGGCCGACATCGGCGTCGCTATGGGCTCGGGCACCGACGTGGCCAAACTCGCCGCCGACATGGTATTGGCCGATGACAACTTCGCTACCATCGAAATCGCCATCGAGGAGGGTCGTTCCATCTACAACAACACCCAGCAGTTCATTCGCTACCTGATCTCGTCCAACATTGGCGAGGTCGTGTCCATCTTCTTGACCGCCGCCATCGGTATGCCCGAAGCTTTGATTCCCGTTCAGCTCCTTTGGGTCAACCTCGTTACCGACGGGCTTCCTGCCACGGCTCTGTCCTTCAACCCCCCTGACAACGACATCATGAAGCGCAAACCTCGCAAGCGTGACGAGGCCCTGATCGGCGGTTGGCTCTTCATCCGATACCTCATCATCGGCACGTACGTCGGATTAGCCACTGTGGCCGGATACGCCTGGTGGTTCATGTACAATCCCGAGGGACCCCAGATCACCTTCAGTCAGCTGACTCGGTTCCATCGCTGCTCCACCGAATTTCCGGAAATCGGCTGCCAGATGTTTAACAACGATATGGCCAAGTCGGCCACGACCGTCTCCCTGTCGATTCTCGTCGTCATCGAGATGCTCAACGCCATGAATGCGCTGTCCTCTAGCGAGTCTCTGCTTACCCTCCCCCTCTGGGAGAACATGATGCTTGTCTATGCCATCTCACTCTCCATGGCTCTGCACTTTGCTCTGCTCTATACGCCGGTCTTGCAACAGTTGTTCTCGATTCTTCCCTTGAGCTGGTTGGAATGGAAGGCTGTTCTCTGGATCAGTGCGCCTGTCATGTGAGTTGACGTTCCTCTCCCTTTTCTTCTTACCAATTGCTAACTTGTTGATACAGCTTGATTGATGAGTGTCTCAAATTCATTGAGCGGAGATTCTTCATGCAGTCGGCACATGTAGAGCGGATTGAAGCAAAAAAGAACAAGTAGACGAGGCCCAAATACACGTGTATGTAGACGGTCACTTTAGTTAAAAATCGATAGACGAATCTAGCACATAGCATTATATACAGTCCACTCCGTCAAAGGAGAGGGATATGCTGGGCAATGTTGGCGAAGTCCTGCCGAAGAGGCATCATGTCAAGGCGGGCGTCTGATTCTTGGTAATCTCGTCGTTCAACGCGAAAGCGTGATAGATACCGTCAGTTCTATTGTGATCGACGGCGCGTTCTGTTGGTACCGACGGTAAAAACTGTTAAATAGTCCCCTTCCGGGAACGGACCAGCTAGCTGTATGCCCGGATAATTTTCCCCGGATGCTCTTATCCTCCTTCTCGCACAACTAACCGGCCTTCCTCTGCCTTGGGCCGGTACAAACAAGTAGGGGTTCGAGCATTAATCTTGCCTGCCCTTCAGTAACCTTTTGGTGACCTTATCCTTCTCGATAATATAGACATGGGCGCCCCAACCGGAGAGAGCATCTCGGTCCACGGCGTTGAGAAGCGCCTGGGATATGGTTTCAAACAGCTCCTCGGGACCCTGTGAAAGCGGTGCCAGGCAAAAGGAATTAGCTTTCAGGCATCCCAGAGGCGAGAGAGAGAGAGAGAGAGAGAGAGATTGGAAAGGAAAAAAAAAACGCACCAGATCGGGCTCCCACAAGCTCTCGCACATGCCGAACAGCTGTTCAGAGGCGGTTCCAGAAACGATAAAGTCCTTGGCGAAATCGATGCAGCCGATGCTGTCGAAGCCGCAGATGAAGGGCTGGCCAGTCTTGGGTTCGAGACCGGCCACGACGGGGGAGACGAAGTAAGGGCCGAAGCGACGCTCATAGAGAGATGAGGAGACGAGGTTGGCGAAGGTGCGGGGGGCGATGTTGCGCTCCTCGCGCAGGCGGTACATGTTGGTCTTGTAGCGGAAGAGGTCGGCGACGGTGGTCACGTCGGTGGCAAGACCGGTGAGGCCGAGGAAGACGTCCCCGTACTGGAAGATCTTGGGGAAGTTGTTGGAGACGGTCAGGGCCTGGAGGCCGAGGCGGAGATCGCAGGCTACGGCGACGCAGTCCTTGCCGACCATGGCGACGCAGGCGCCGCCATCTGGGAATCGTTAGACCAGGCGCGAGACAGAATACGCGAGGGTTGAATGAGACGAACTTATGGAGAAGGGAGAAGACTTGAGTCAGACGTTAGCTGGGAGCCAGTTGGACGAGGAAACAGGAGAGATGGGAGGAGGATGCGAGTTACCATCTGGGGCACTTAGTCGACCGGAGGGCTGACTATCTAACAGAGGAAGGGAAGCTATCCGACAGCGCCCCCTCGTCGTCTCGTCGATATAATGATGGAATGAGCGTGGCACTCGTCGTTACCGTCGTCACTTGTCGTTGTCGTCCCACGGTGGTCTTGTGCTGAAGCGAATTGGACGTCGTCGAGATGGATGGATTCAAAGCTCTGGTGTCGAGAGTAACAGCAAGCTGGGAGCAAGGCAAACGTGACATGGCGCGGCAGCTGGACTGGGTCCACAGTTGTAAGGCTCGTCGCAAACATGATTGGACCGAGCTTCCCTCGCAAGTGCTTGGGTAGGCTCAATGTACCGTGTCTGTACTTTAATTACGACATAACTGCATGGCTTGCCGTGTGTGGCCGAAGTAATACTTTGTAGTTACTTTGTACGGATCAGACTTGCGGCGCAGGTAAGCTACGAAGTACACTACTTCGTCTGCTACGGGGCAGAACATCATGTCGAGGTACCCAGTTTGGCCGGCAGACACGGTAAGGAGAAACCCGCAGAACTATCCGTATGTGAACATAAGGTCTAGGTAAGGTAGGTAATGAGGATGGAGCCGCCTACCTTTTGCGTACCTTGCCTTCGCTGTCATACTGATGCCAAAACTTAAGCCAAGCATAACGCGTACTCTCGGTGCCTCGACCAAGCCTTCTTTCTTTTTCTCCCAGGTTCGACTCGAGTGCTGCATAACCTAAAAAGCAGTTGAGCATAGGTACTCGTGTCCTATGACGATAGTCAGAAGAATACCCCGCTATTAAGCAGAGACTCTGTCCGACCACCACGACAACATATTACTGCATACCTTCACAGGCCGACACGTCCGAGGTAGTTGGTAACGGGGCGGTCGATCAACCTCTTATTTCCCGTCCCGAGACTTCACCATACGTTTGGATCAACCAACGCAGCAGCTTATTCCGCTACGATGGCCTCGCATGTAACTGTCATCGGTACAGACCTGCGCCGGGCAACGGTCAAGGTCACACCAGGCACCTACATGACGGACGTTCTTCAGGAGGCCTGCAAGAAGCTTGGTCTTCCAGCGGATAAGTATCTTTTGAAGTAAGTATCTCAACTCGACACATCGGCCGTTCTTCCAAGACCGGTGCTAACCGTTGTCATCCTTCCAGACACAAGCAGAAGAACGTCGACCTGTCCATCGTCTGGCGACAAGCTGGGCTTAGCCCCGGCGCGAAACTTGAACTTGTTCAGAAATCGAAAACACCGTCTGCCGTTTCGGTCGCACTTCAACTCCCTCCTCCGGAATCCAGCGTCACACCCAATGGTCGCTTGGTGGAGAAGTTGCCTAGTGATCTGTCCGTATGGCAAGTGCTGCGCCAGTTCGAGAGCGGGAACGCCAGCCAGGGGAAGAACTTGAACCTTACTGCACGCGGGGTCGCCAACATCGATACCGGGGCAAAGAGCGGGAGTGGCCAGCTCTATTACGAGACGCCAGTACTCAATATCATGGGGAGAGAGCTGGCTTCCTTTTCGGACTTCCAGAAGACCTTGTCACAGCTGGGGTACAATTCGGGAAGCGTTCTGATGCGCCTGTCATTCAGGTTGACGGAAAAGACACTATATGAGGCTATGAGCGAGATCAGCCAGCACTTCCCCGACGTCGAGACGCCTCGCAAGGAACCGACCACGGCCAGCTCTGCATCCACGGCCATGCCAGCCCCAACTCTCGGTGAAGACTCTACACCACCATCCGTCCCGACATCAGAGGAACAAGATCGCACCAAGGCAGAAAGTGAGGACACCGCGAAGGAACCATCAGAAAGTACCGCTCCGGCCGCCTCGACAGAACAGTCCCACTCTGTGGGAGGAGATACCATGGATGTAGACTACCCCGGTCCTTCCGATCCGTTACAGCCAGTCGGTGTCTTCCAGGCCCCAACAGGCACCACCCCGGCCGCAGCTCTGGCGGCGGTTTCAGAGACCGACTTCAGCCCTACCGTCGCCCACGCTCAGCTTCATCAAATCCGCCTGCAGCAGGCGTCCCAGAATAAGCGCCTTTTATCGGACAAGGAGCTCGAGGACCGAGCAAATGCTGAAAAAGCCAGACTTGCCTCCGTCTCTTCCGTTGCCATCAAAGTGCGGTTCCCTGACAACACCTCAGCTCAATGGTCTTTCGGTCCCGAGGCCACAGGAGCATTGCTGTACAAAGCGGTACGCTCCGTAATGGCACACGACAGCCAGCCTTTCAAGCTTGTCCTTCCCGGAACCAGAACAATCATTACAAATTCTGACAATGCGGATTATCGCCTCGTTCACAATTATAAGCTGACGCGGAACGTACTCGTCAACTTCATTTGGGATAGCACCGTCTCAGTTGACGTTCGGAAACAGCCATTCCTCAAGGGAAGCATCGCACAACAGGCAAAAGCCGTCCAAGTGCCAGATATACCCCAAGAGGCAGATGATAGCAAGGAAAGCGGACGGGCAGTACAGCCATCCAAGCCGGAGAGCAACGACCGGACTGAGCGTGTGGCTAAGAAGCTCCCCAAGTGGTTTAAGCTTCCAGGCAAGAAATAGCGATAGCGAAGTTGATACGAGGCACATAATACATCTGATGCCCAAACTCACGAATCATAACGTATCATTACAAGTCACGTATCCTTTGGTTTCATGGGTTTCATGATGCGCCATGGGACAAGCTCTGATCTTTTAAGATGTGTATTGCTTGGTATTTTTCTTTTTCATGTCATGACCAGCTGCCACTTGCTATTTGGTGTGGCAGAAGAAGCGCGTGGAATTCCCCAGCGAGTCCTGACGGCGGGGACTCCAACAAAAGATCCGTCTTTTATAGACCGCACGCCGAGACCATGATTGAAAATAATAAAACGTCCCACATATCATCCCCAATCGTTCGTGACATAGTTTACTCGCGGCCAGTGCGGCGGGACTCGGCAATCACGCCCTGGAGCTCATCGACCTTCTTCTTGGCGCGGCCGAAGGTACCGAGCTAAGTGGAAAGAAAGACACCAAGTCAGCATGCGATATGATAGGATGGAATACTAGCAGCTGAGGCTGCTTCTCGTGTTCGACTCACCCTCTTCTTGGCCAGCTTGCGGGCGCGCTTGTCCTGGCTGTTGCGGAGCAGTTCGATAACGCGGCGCTCGTAGGGGGAAAGACTGTTGTTGAGAGAACTGGTTCAGCACACATTCCATCGCCTTTTGCGAAACTAGTTACTGTAGAAACAGGCCCTCCCGAGCTCGATCGTCGGCCAAGCATAAGAATGCTTTATGAAGCGTTGGCCGCTTCCACCAATTCCTCCTGCTTAGCAGCCGATCGAAGTCGGGGGCCGTCCAACTAGAAATGTAACAGTCCAGTAAGAAAAGTGGTACTCACCCAGAGACCTCCCGGACAATGTCCCTCACGAAGGCAGTGCGCTTGCTGAGACGGCCCTTGAGCGACGAGACGCGGGGCTTCGAGACGCGAGGGGTGGTTTTCTGTTACAAGGGAAAAGCAAAGGACCGAGTCAGCCTACTACGATGTCCATCGTCTGCAGCGGTGATGATGACATCTCGTGCCGAGAGCCCTCCTCTTCCTCTTTCGCAATATTTCAGCGAGGAGGAATCGTCGGGCGGACACGGCGCAGAGATCCTCCACGAGGTGAGACACGTACATGGCCACGGTTCAGGCCGACGGCGAGGCCGGTACGGGTGGGCTGTTCCTTCGCCATTGTTGCCGGTGGTTGTCGGTCGACGATGGGCGGATTTGTCGAGGTGGTTGTCGTTGGGCGGATGAGGAAACGGGGAAGATAGATTTTCTGGCAGCGTGGATCGGGTACTTTGGCGGGTTTCGCAAAATTGCGTGTGGGTTTGTGGGTCACGTGTTTGTGTTAGCGATGACAGAACTAAGCATGTTCGGTACTTTCTGTAGATAAGATAAGCCTATCTCTTATCGCCTTGTTGATTCTCCAAATGGTTTAATATACCAAGGTACCTCGCTCTTTTTAACGACGGAGCCCGATGAGGCGGTCATAGTCCCTATTTCCATGGTTTGGGATAAGTGTCTAGCAAACCATGCGTTACGTATACGCGTCTTCTATTGAGAACTTATATGAAACTTGATTGAAGACCCATCATACAAGCCAGTCTCTTCCGGCATCCCGGTGCCCTTCGAACACTGGTCCGCGGCCCTTGTCATGAGAAACAAGACTGCGAGGATGTTCGTTTGTTCCTAGCTCCTCCCACCGGCCCGTATATCGCCACTATCAGGTTGGGACTGGAGAAAAGCTGAAGAACTGAGCCTGGACATCTGCCGCATGGCAGTTGCTGTCGGTCCCGCATGCACGTGTGGAATTGCTGCCGCCGTCGCCGCATACAATCTCGATAGGTGCGGTTCCAGCTGCTTCGAAATCTGCCTGGCTGTTTCACGAACATCATCAGTACTCGTTGGGCAGGCGAACTGTAACAATGACTGGGCGGACGTTGTCTTGAACTTACCCTTGTTCATCCGGACAAGCCTTTTCAATCATGGTCAAAGCTGCATCCTGCCAGATGAACTGCACCAGTGGATCATTACAGGCATATCGCGCGGTCCTTCCCCCGATGATGATCGCCTCGGAGCTGGAGTTGAACTGGCAGAGTGTCGAGACGTCGGTTTCATCGTCCTGGAAATTAAACTCGAACTGGCTCAGCGTGTCACCCCCGTCGTCCGGGTTTCCAGAAAAGTTCTTGATGGTGAACTCGGCGGGGAGGGTGCACTCGTGCGCTTCAACCAGAGCTCTGATCCTCTGAGGGACGGCGGCCATATACGCCGCCATAGCCGCGTTGACCGTCGGAGCACCCAGAAGCAAAAAGCCAAGAAGTTGGTTCATCTTGCGAATAAGCAGTTCGTTCGCGGTCGGCCTTTAATCTGTGCGTTGCGTTGCGGTAATGGTTACGATGAGAAATGCCGAAGGTCTTGCGGGTTTCCTTTTTTTCGCAGTTGAACAACCTTAAAACTCAAACAAAGCAACTGGTTCAGGGCACTCGGTACATGAATAGCATTGGGGTTCAAATCCGGATGCATGCTTCCAGGCTTTATTTGTTACTTCAACGGACAGCAAGCATATTGCCCCTTGCAGAGAGGGGAAAACCCAATAATCAAGTAGCACATTTAGACGACTAAGGACGTCACGAAAGCGGTAGGAGCCCGCTGATCTCTGGTGTATTGCCGCGCACTTAATAGTCCAAAAAGGGAATCAACGTAACACTTAAGGGGCGAGCTATAATCCAGGCTGGCGACTTACCTATTAGCTTCCTTGCGAGGGTGCGAGTTGATTAAGGTATCTTAGGTTATGTTTATCGTTGCCAAGGGGTGTGAGCTTCTGGAATGAAGTCAAATACTTGTTGTCTGAGCAACTACGAGATAATAAAAGATATGCCTATGGGGAATAGACCGACAAGTACGGAAGCAAGGAGTGCCCTTACAGAGCATATAGACTAAGACATTGAGTGGCGAGTTGAAGTTACGGGGCTGTGAGTGACTGACAAGTAGCACTGATTCACACGTGTACACCGTATTATCCAATCCGTAGCCGGGCGCTTGTTGAGAGACAACCAATGACCCAGTGTATGTTGTTTGCTTTGGATATACGGTACGGAGTACTTACTCCTCTATATGAGGCGATGAAACGGTTCGTCCAAGATGAATGCTTGTGTTACTCCGTACATCTCATTATCCCTCCAAGACCCTCGTAACGTGATGCTGTGGTGCAACACGGACAGACATACTGGTCTATACCCGACCGGTTTTCTGTCCCTCAGGCTTCCTTGATAAAGAACAGAAGTTATACTTCTTACCATCCATTACAGGTGTTGGCTACATCATTCCTTCACAGTCGAATCGAGCTTCATCCACACCTATGGATCGGCTCCAGGTCTTGGCAGCTGACTTATTTCGCGTAACCCCGGCCCCAAATGACTGAAGTGGGGGGGCTTAATAAGCTTCCAACCCCTTGCCACCAATGCATTTTTGGATCACCTGCACCCTGGTTGCTGTGACCCAGTATTCGTAATTACTCTGTATCAACTGACCTCACCCGACCTCATGAGTTTCGCCTGCTGTCATTTCCAGTCAATTGTCCCCAAAATCAGGTGCCTCTTAGATCTGGGCTGCTAAGCCAACAGAGATAGATATTCCCTCCATCCCAACACTAAATACGACATCCTGAAACTTCGCTTCGTCCCTGGACCTACAGCATTCAATCGCGCTCGCGAGATTGCATGCCGCAATGGGGTCGAATTCAAATGCACGACGATTCTCTTGACACTCCTAACCCCTGAATGGTCTTCATATCCATCCCTTGCAACGATGCACCTCAGTCCGCAAAATCGTCTTCTGCTCCTCCGCGTCTTCCGTCTCTTGTTGGCAATATGGCTGTTGGGCATCGTCTCGTTCTCCTCCGCCGCTCTCCAGGAGCCTTTGGTTACTAGTGCCAGTCCACAGCCAGTCTCTGTCGCAGTCTTCTCTTCTCTAGAACGCCTGTCCCGTCTCGTGGACATCACCTACTGTGTCGGGAACACCGGCATGTGGAAGCCCTTCAAGTGTGCATCCCGCTGCAATGAATTCCCGACTCTCACTCTTGAAACGACATGGCAAACGGGCATCCTCATGAGCGACAGCTGCGGGTTTATTGCCGTTGACCACGGCATACCCCGACCCGACGCCGGAGAAGGGAATCACGATCCTTTGGCGGAGAAGGCTATCATAGTCGCCTTCCGTGGCACCTATAGCATTGCGAACACGATTATCGACCTCAGCACGATGCCGCAGCAATATGTGCCCTACCCGTCTCCAGATGATGGCGGGGGTAAGCCACCGCGCAAGCCCTCTCATCGGTGCGATAATTGCACTGTCCACAGCGGCTTCCTAGCATCGTGGCGGCAGGCACGGGACGTCGTTCTTCCGGAGATGAAGGCCCTGCGTCAGAAATATCCGGGGTACCCCATCCGGCTCGTTGGACATAGCCTCGGCGGCGCGGTCGCCATGCTCGCAGCTCTCGAAATGCGAGTATCGCTCGGGTGGTGGGACACGGTCGTGACCACGTTTGGCGAGCCCAGAGTCGGAAACCAGGAGCTATGCGACTACCTCGACGCCGTCTTTGAGCTGAGTGCCGCGGATGAAATAAACGCGGCCGAGAGAGAGTACCGCCGTGTCACGCACGCGGATGATCCCGTGCCATTGCTGCCGCCCGCCGAGTGGGGATACTCATCCCACGGAGGGGAATTCTTCATCAGCAAGAAAGACTTGCCGCCTTCAGTTGAAGATGTGCTCGTCTGCCGTGGTGACTATGATGAGAACTGCATCGCGCGGGATGAAGGTCGGGTCGTATCTGTCGCGGCAGACGACTCCACCGACGTCTTGCGCACCGGCGAAGGCCAGGACGCCGTGGCCGCAGAGCGCTTTAATTGGATCCCGGCTCGCTTCAGATTATGGCAATTGTTTTTCGCCCATCGCGACTATTTTTGGCGGCTCGGGTTATGCGTACCTGGGGGCGATCCAGCCAACTGGGGACGAGAAAAGGCCGAAGGCGGTGGCGGTGGCGGTGGTGAGGAAGCACACTCAGCTGAGCTATGATTAAATTGCAACGATTCAACGGATTTTTGCGAAATAACTGGACGAGACTGTGGCTACATGCCGTACCGAACTGAGGACGATAGGCGCGCGTTTTGGATTGTATGATGAGATGATAATACGTGTAGAATCGGTAGCACAGCAGTTGCGGTGGTTCCTTCGATCAGACGCTTCTATCTGCGTTTCGTACTTCGTACCTATCCGTACTCCGTGGTACGGAGTACCTTGCTTATTACCTATCTCGTGGGTGCCGTATATATCGCACTTAAAACACGTGAGCCTGTTTTCTGTGTTTCTATTAGCTGGACTAGCCCTATATTCCTCGCGTGGAAAAGGGGTAGATATATTTAGAACACCCACACCTTCCTATTCTTCTTTCCTTTATACAACGAATATAATTATATATCTATTAAATCTCTGCTCCGGCCGGATTACACGCCCGTTAATCTAATAGTTATAAGCCCGGGTAGTAGTATTTATTACTAGTAACTTTTAGCTAATCTATTACCTATATATTATTTCTACCCGTTACGTGTGCTTCTATAGCTAATTAAGGAGTATCTACCCTACTCTCTCGCTTAGAAAAGCCCTTATTCGCTAAACCCCTACTATAAACTATATCTACGAAGCTTAAAGTTACCGCCGAAGCGCTTAGTATACCGCGACTAGAGTCTACTAGGTAATAGGCCGATTAGATCTTCTATATTAAGTTATATACGTAGGGTATAAAGGTCTAGGCCTTACTCGACCCTAATAGGCCGGAGTAGCTAGACGACCGACCCGAGTACGTTATGTCTATATCTATTAACTAGCTACGCGAAAAACACACCTAGGTTATTAACGGGGTGCCGACCCCTCCTACTATATCGAAACTAATTAAGCTCATTAAGCTAGAAGGCTATAAGGTCATGGTATATAATTAAAAGCTCGCCCGATCGATTAAGGCGCTTAATAAAGCTAATTACATACTTAAAGCGACTATTAAAACCTCTACCTATTAATAAGCCGTTAAGGAAGCTATTAAGAAGTACCCTAGCTACGAAGAGGGGAAATAAAACCGTTACTTCACGATACGATAAGTGATAAAAGAATTCAAGAAATACTTCGCTCCTAGCGCATTATTCTTAGCTAAGGAGGTTTATCGAGTATACGATAAGCACCTTTAGGATACCCGAAAAGCTAATACGAAGGTGGTAGTATAGTATACGGAGTGGAATACTCTTATCCGGCGCTATCGTTAGTATAAAGTTAACGACGTTAAGGGTTCTATAGCTATCCGTAACTTCCTTATCGTAGTTAGGTAGCGTTTTACCCCGGCTTAGGTAAAGGCTAAGTTCCACAAATTAATCCGTAAGGAGAATAAGGATAAAGTAATTAACGATATCCTAATATACGGCCGTGAATTTAACGCGATTATAAGCGCTCCTGGCCTTAATAGAACTAGGTACGGCGTTTACGCTACCCTAGGCGACCGCTCCGATAAAGACGACGATAGTAGTGGAAAAGGGAAGAAAGGTAAGGGTAAGGGGTATAAATACCCCTATAATAGGACCTATTCGTGGAAGCCGGAGCTCTATAATAGAGTAGAGTATACTCTTATAGGTAAATACGAGTAGTAGCTATCCGTGCAGATAAATAATAATTATATCGAATAAATCTGGAAAGAGCTATAGTAATAAAAGTAGAAAAGTCTACGAGAAACCCTATTAAAGAAGGGATAGGGAAACGCCGGTAAGAGTAGCGATAAGGGTAATAGATACCCCTTAAAGGTTATTATAACTATCTTAGATCTAACCCTTATTTACGATATAGGGAAAGTTCCCGGTATTTACGCGGCGTTACGATCTAGCGCTTACCCGCTTTTATATAGTACCCTTTTAGATAACTATAGCGCGATACACTTAGTTAATTTAATCGACCTACTTATTCCCGGATCTTTCGTCCTAATAGACGGTATTATTAAATCCGGTACTACGGAATTCCCTATTATCGGTAAAGGTAAACGGATCTTTAAGGGCCTTCTTAATAGACTATTAGGTGCTTTAAAAGTCGATTTAGAGCTTAACGACGTCGTCGTGGTGGAGGGATTTTATATAAATATTATCTCGGAAGCTCTATTATATAAGGTTAGGATCTAGTATTCGGGATATAACTACTTACTACGATACGGAATAGCAGATAAGAGCGTAGTTGTATTAAAGCTATTATAACGCTTTAATATAACTATTCTTTAGTATAAGCTAATTTTATCCTGTTCTTCTTCTTACCCGTACGTTTAACTAATACTATAAGGCGTGATTCCCGTAAGCTACGATTATATCTATATACTAGTAGTAGCTATCGATCGACCGATAAGAGCGCCACTTCCGAAGCTATTTCGACTATCTCGAGATTCCCCTTATCCTTATATTAACGAAGAGAGGCTATAGTATCTAAGGGCCGGCCACCTAGGACTAGAAGCTCTCCGAGCACTAGTTCGTAACGCTCAGAATATACTAATATAAGGTATTAAGCGGATTAAGTATAAGACCTATACTTAAATATAGGTTTATTAGGTTATATTTTATTGACTATTAGATTACCGCTCGCCTAGGCCATTCTAGTGTATTTATTAGGATTTACAGGAATTACCAGAGAGTTATAACAGTATATATTATCTCCTTATTATTAAGAAGGAGTATAGTGGTTCGATTTATATATTACCTTTAGCGTCGAAAAACAGCGTTACGGTCTATAACGCCCTCGAAGCGTTCGAAAGATAGGTTACGCGTTAGTTTAATCTATACGTCTATAAGATACGTAGTGATAATAAGCCTTTAATTGTGTATATAGCAGGGGATTCGCGGACCTAGCTATAGGCGAGTATAAAAGGTATCGATATAAAGATCGCGCCTTTATATACCTATAAACCGAATAATACTATTAAGAGGGCAGGATAAGCTATCGTTATAAAGTCTAACGCTATACTAAACGGCGTATATCTTCTAGGTTTTATATAGCCGGAGAGTATAAGAGCGGTAGCGTAACTTTATAATATAAGTCTACCGTAGCGCTTAGGTTAGAAGTCTCCTATTAAGGTATTAGACTTATAGTTTAAAAAGCACGCGCCGCTTAAGATAAAAGAGTATTCTGCTAACCTACGGCTAGATTAGAGTAGTATTTATATCTACGGTTACCGCGCCTATCCCTTAAATAGGAATAGGGAGGCTAGAAGGGAGAGAAAGATATAGAAGATTTAACCGAGGGGCTATATTAGGTATCTTATAGGATACGTTACCTATAATATCTATAGGATATAGATCCCGTAGCTTTAGAAGGTTATAACGACGCGTAATATGTAGTTTAATAAGCGGTTGTTTTATAACTCGAAGCTCGAAGAAGTAGAGTAAATTACGGAGGCGGAGGCGAGGAATTAGTTTATAACCTATAAAGACTACGAAGATAAGGATACCGAATTTATCCTATAAGCAAAACCGCTCGCCGGTCTATCTAATAGCGTACCTTCTAAAGATTAAGTAGAGTCTACGGGTTTAGACTTAGGGGTAGGAGTAGCTAGTACTATTCTAAAGGCGCCGGAACTACTAAATACCGATATAACTATTAACGGCCACGACGGGCTACCCGAACCGCCCGCGCTAATAGGACTCTAAACCCCACGTGCTATACCTAATCCGCCGAGCCGGAATAACCAGGACTAAGGCGCCGGGCCGTAGCTATAGTAGGAGGAACTCTTAATTAAACCCTCTTCTATATAGACTATGGCACCCGAAGGAGATACTGCTATTAATACGCTAAAGCTATATATACTAGATCTTAATATAGATTATCCAGAGTACTAAGGAGGAGCGAGGAGTACGTAGACTAAGGTATAAGAACTAGCTACTCCTAATCTGGGTCACGGTATTAACTAGCCCTTAACGTCTAGATCTCGAGCTAATATTAACTCTAAGGTAACCACGCACTAATATAAGCGGAGTATATAGGTTAAGAATATAATAAGGGTTAACGCCCGAATTATAGATCGATATACTTAGGGGAAGACTATTCGGATTAATCCACGGATATACGTAGTAGAGCCAGAAGTGCCCTTAATGTAAACGTTCTTCCTGTCTAATTAATAAGAAGTGCGCGACGATAAGATATAAGGGCTCCTATCCTTTTACTTAGTGATATTCGGAGTAGCCGATATAAAAACAAAAGTTTATTCGAAAGCTATAGAGGATTCGACACCAAAATCCTTACTCGACGATAGGGTTTATCGCGACCACCTAAAGGCTATACTAAGGTATTAGAGAGAGCTTTATAACCACCCTATACGCGACTATTTTAAGGAAACGGCGTAGAAAGAGGTTAATAAGCTTATTAAGAAACGTATATAGAGGGAAATTAATAGCGTAGCGGCGAAGTCTAAGCCTCTTCTACTTAAATAGGTATTCATCTATAAGTTTAACTAAGGCGGGTATCTTAAGAGATATAAGGTAAGGCTATATATCCGAGGGGATCTCTAGGAAAGCTTAACGATTAAGGGAACCTACGTAGTAACGCTCGCTATAAGGTTTTTTCATATTATTATAGCTTTAGCCGCTTAATTTAACCTAGAGATTAAGTAACTGGATATCGTTAACGCCTTTATTAATGCCGAGAGGAATAGAATAGGAACGCCCGTTATATATAAGCTTCTAGATAGGTTTAAGCAGCTAGATAAGTGCTTAGAGCTAGATAAAGTATTCTACGGCTTACGAGATTTACCTCGATTATAGTTCTAGATCTTTATAGCGACGTTATCGGATCTAGGGATAAAGGCTAGTAAAGAAGAGCTATACCTATTCTATATAGTAGCTCGAGATACGTTTATTATCTTTTTTATAGATGATATCCTCGTTTTATTTCATAAGAATACGGCTATAAACGCCCTTAGGATTATTAACGGTATTAGAAAGAGGTTCGAAGTGTTAGAAAAAAGTAACGTAGAATAATTCCTAGGGATTAAGATTACGCGAGATCGCCCCCGGCGTAAGGTTCTACTTAGTCACGACTTATATATTAAGAAGATCGTAGCTAGATTTAATTTAGATACTACTAATATATACCTGGCGATACTAGTTCCTATTATAGAATACCGGAAGAGAGAAGACGAGGCCACGGCTTAAGAGGTTAAATCATACTAGGAAAAGGTCGGATTATTACTATATATAGTAGTTATAATACGTCCTAATATAGCCTTTACGGTATCTATTCTTTCCCGCTTTCTTAGAAACCCCTCCCCGGAGTATTATAAGGCAGCGGACTAAGCTATCCATTACTTATATATAACTAGGGACCTCTCGATTTAGTACGGATCGAGTACTAATGTATAGGCTATAGTAATCGCGAGCAACGCCTCTTTTACTAATAATATCGATACACGACGATCTTCCTAAGGCTATCTTATTAGCCTATTTAAAGGTCTAGTGGTGTGGAAAGTAATAAGGTAAGTAACCGTTATTACGTTTATAACCGAAGTAGAGCTGCTCGCTCTAGAGTAAGTCGCGAAGGAAATAATTGGATTAAAGCACTTATTCGTAGAGATACGCTTTAACCTCGAATCCCCTTAGAATATTAATTACGATAACACTTAAATAATTAGGCTTATAGTGGATAACGGCTATAGGATCGAAACCCGGCTTAGATATATAGATATTTAACGCTTATAGGTTTAACAGGAAAACGGTAAAGGGACCTTTAGGGTGGTTTATTTAGCTACGAGCCTTATACCGGTAGACGGATTAACGAAGGTATTCCCACGATAAAAGTTCGAGAGCTTCCGCGTATATCTTAATATAATAAGTGCACGGAGGGGGTAGACTAGAGAAGTTAAAGTTAAAAATTAAGCGCCGGAGGCGCACTGCGCGCCGGCGGAATAGTAAAATTAGGGTAAAAGCAAAAGTAGTATCTCTTTATAGTACTAGCCCTAACACTTAAGCTAAAAAACTAAAACCCTGTACCCTAAAAGTAAAACTCGGAATACTACTAGCCGGCGAATATAAAAGCTATTACTATACTCTATTAGGAGTAACCGGCGCGAAAACTATACCGCTACCCGAGTCACCACTACCACCCGCGCTATTCTTAACGACCGGCGCGATAACCTCCCCTTAAGGGGCTCCGGAGAACACGACGGGAGTAATATTTTACTATTACTGTTACTACTAAAGCTAGTCGCCGAGGCGATAAGCTACTACCTCCTCCACTAAACTTTCGAAATAAGCCGAGAAACTAGGCTTAGTTAAGCCCTCCTCGCCAGGGCCCGCCATGTATTTAAGCTCCTTTTTATTAAAAAAGCGCTTAGTATTATCCTCCTCTAGGTATTTAACCTGCTACTTAATATACTGCTTTAACTTAGCTAAAAACTACGCCGGAAATATTAGCCGGAGCACTCGAGTTAAGGAATAAAACGATAAAAACGCACCTTATAGTCCTTATTAGTAGATCCTGCTCTAATCTTACGAATAGACACTATATTAACTAGTATCTTAATAAAAGAAAGTATACTAATATAACTAGGATCGGTTATTAGTAAATAGAATCGTACCGGAGCACGGATCCTTAATCCGGATTTAAACCGGAGCTTTTATCCACGGTCGTAAATCTCGATAACTAAGGGGTGGAAACTTATATCTAGGAGTATATATAGTTACCGTTATAACACTTACGGTAACTGTTTAAGCGCCTTTCGACGGTGACGTAATAGTTTTACGAGCTTTATTTACCCGAATAAATACCTTTTACGTATTATATATAAGGAGGATTAAAGGGGACCGGTATAAAATTTAGATCGGGGGCCTTAATCGATTTCTTAGTAGGCTTTTTAGGAGTCTACTAAACTAGTAGTAACCGGAGCCTTACGGCTATAAACAAAAGTATAAAGCTAAGGGACTAAAGTACTTATATTAGGCTTTTTACCGGGGGTCTTAGTTATACCGGAAGGCTTAGTTAGACTAGTACTAGCGACCTTAGCACTGGACGCACCGGTTAAGGGGGCCTAAATAAGCACTATTAGCACCTATATTAAGAATCAGAGCTCCGGTAACTTACTATAGCATGTTTAAGGGACGAAGAGTGGCTATTTAAGGAGGGAAGAGAAGAAAAAAAAGTCCGAAAATTAGGCGAGGCATAAAATCCACGAAAAATCGTTAAAAAATAGAATCGTAGTTATAAGAGGGAAAAGAAGGCTATAAAGAGCCTGAAAACCCTTTTATTTATATCCGGCACCTCCCTTATCTACTAATTACTTTAAATAGCACTTTCCTTTATTATTTACTACTATTATTATTATTCTTTCTTATTTTATAGCTTCCTTACCTGCCTTTTAACTCGACTTTAAAGGATATATAACTTTTATAGTAATTAAGGGGTGTATCGCACTTAAAACACGTGAGCCTGTTTTCTGTGTTTCTATTAGCTGGACTAGCCCTATATTCCTCGCGTGGAAAAGGGGTAGATATATTTAGAATACCCACACCTTCCTATTCTTCTTTCCTTTATGTAACGAATACAATCATATATCTATTGAATCTCTGCTCCGGCCGGATCACACGCCCGTCAATCCAACAGCATACGCAGGACCACCCAACTACTTTTACGGATGACAATGCGCCACATTGTGGACTCGCCGTGGGTTCACCACGGATAAGCAAGCCCGGAATTCGAATTAAGAATATCTAGCTCATCAACAAGCCGAAAACGGTCGGAGAGGCCTTATTTTATACATCATCAGGGCTGACACTGAAGTACGAAGTAGGTACGATGACGATGAGATAGGCCGCCACCCCGGAGACCTCGGACATGTGGGGCTGATTCGTCACGTGAAGTATGACGAGGGAAGCCAAGCAGAAAACTTTTGTCCCCTCTCCTCAACCTGGGACCAGAAAAGAACAAATGAATATGGTGAGAGAGACTATTATGAGTACTTCACAGAGAAACTCACAGCAAACAAGGAATGGCTAAAATACCAAAACTACCTACTTCGTGCAGGGAAATGTGCGAATAACGGGGTACTTCGATATCCGCACTACGTGCGGACTATATAAGGTAATCATGTGACCCGGACAGTCCCACCCACGCCATCTTCTTAGTGAGGCGGTCTGGCTTGAAGTGGACATTGGCAGTGGCAAGCAAAGCCCCTCCCCTCCACCGAGGTGGAAAGACATCAGAATACTTCATAATTACTTCTTGGACACGACCACTTGGGCAAGGCCTAGGTAATACTTCGTACATTCAAGGCAGGCATTTATGTTTGTGTACTCTTAAAACGACTCAGAGCGTATAAGTACCTACCTAGGTACCTTAGGACTTAGGTAGTGACCATGATAAACTCTAATGACTTCCCCTCCCTTAATAAGAGAATGAACATGCTTGGGGGTTCCCTTTCTTGCTGGTTCTGCCGGCAGCGTGTGGTGTGTTGGCAAATTGGTCATCTCAAACTGAACGGTCTGGCCCCTGTGCCCTGTCCCGCGCTTAGGTCTCTCTGGTCAATCTCTTATTATTCGTAGATGCTCAGGTGCCCTTGCCGGCGGAGCCAGCACAGGCCCCAGAATGACGGCGTGGGAGGAGCCCCCAACACCGCTGCCCAGCACCCAGTCCCAGTCCCGGGCGCCGGTCTCCCCGGGCCTCGCGACCCCACCTCATATCCCATTTCCCCCACTCTCTCCCCTCTCCTTGGTCCTTCAGACGTTCTCTTTGGGTAGTACCTTGGTAGTCATTACGAGGTACCTACAAAGAGACCTCTACTTCGTATCCGTACGGAGTGAAGAGATAGCAGGGAGAAGGTAATAATACACCGTATCCGTACTTCGTACTTTTTTACATTAGTATCGTAATAAGCTACTTTGTAGAGTATTATTGTTTCTTAGCACTGACTGGGGACCAGTGCGCGATTACCCTCAGACCAGACCGGGTGGTGCACTGCCAAAATAAACCCGTCTAGAGCAAGCCCCTATTATAATATGAGGAGAGATGTTGTGCTGGGTGCTGGGTGCTGGGTGCTGGGCCAAAGAAGCCGAAAGAAGGAAAGAAGGAAAGAACGAACGAGCAACCCGATAACCCATAATTCTTCACCAACGCGTGCAACTTCCCTCTTATTTTTGTTTAGTGACTTCCACCCACGACCCCTCCCCTCCTAAAAACCCTGTACTTTCCCTTCCGTCACACATGCCCCGACTTTTTACTGCCTCGACCACTCTGACCAGCGCTACTGCACCTGATTGCCCTTTTCTGCCTCACCCTTCTTTCTTTCCTCCACCCACCCGCGCAAGTTTTCCTCATTTCTTTTTCCCCGAACAAAACACCACTATCGCCATCACTTTCACAACTTCACTCCACTTCCCAACAACCGTAAAATCTTGACCTGACACACCAACACTCCGTGTTACCGACAGTGTCCATATTCTCAACCCCCTTTCCGAACGTCAACACTTGTCCCGCACTTTCATTTCCATAGCCAAGCCGAACATGTCTAACGACGTAAGTTCCAGCCACATGAACTTTTCCCCGTGTTTTTGCTCTGTTTTTTTTTGTTACCTGATCAGGCTCTTCGCGCCTGCTTCCTCTCGTCGTGATGCCTTCTACTCCCCTCACCTGTATCATGCGCATATGGGCTTTCTGCGAACGCCTTATACATCCACTCCGCCATCTTCCCCAACCCCTCGATTTCGAACGTCTTGTACTCCCTGAATTCTATCCTTTAGCCCCGTCCCTTGGCTAATTCTGCCTGGAGGGGAGGCTTTATTCTATTGGAACGATCGCTTTGAACGATGTGTGCTGACATTTACCCCTCCTCCAGCGCGAGAGGTTTGCTGCGATTTGCCTGCCCCTTACACCTATCGTCTAGGTCCCCACCCCTCGTCCGACGCGCTACTGACCTTGGGTTTTTTTACACACGTAATAGCAAGACTTTCCTCGCTCGCCTCTGCGAGCAGGCCGAGCGCTACGATGAAATGGTCGGCTACATGAAGGAGGTCGCCAAGCTGGGCGGTGAGCTCACCGTCGACGAGCGTAACCTCCTCAGCGTCGCCTACAAGAACGTCGTCGGTACTCGTCGTGCTTCGTGGCGCATCATCTCCTCCATTGAGCAGAAGGAGGAGAGCAAGGGCTCGGAGAAGCACGTCACCATCATCCGCGAATACCGCTCCAAGATCGAGACGGAGCTCGAGCAGGTCTGCCAGGATGTTCTTGACGTCCTCGATGAGAGCCTGATCCCCAACGCCCAGACCGGCGAGTCCAAGGTCTTCTATCACAAGATGTATGTGTCCTTCATATCGACTCGCTCTTTGCTTGTCATTCCCCCTTCTGTCCTTTCTTTTACTATATATACTTGGTTGTACAAGCCCGCTGACCCTCTTTTTTTTCTTGCCGTGCTGTAGGAAGGGAGATTATCACCGCTACCTGGCCGAGTTTGCCTCCGGTGAGAAGCGCAAGAATGCCGCTACTTCGGCTCACGAGGCGTACAAGGTACGCCATCTACATGGATCAATTGATGATGTAGGAACTGGTTTGACTGACTCGGCCTTTTTTCTCTCACTCGCAGAGCGCTACCGACGTTGCCCAGACTGAGCTGACGCCCACTCACCCCATCCGCCTTGGCCTGGCCCTCAACTTCTCCGTCTTCTACTACGAGATTCTCAACTCGCCCGACCGTGCTTGCCACCTCGCCAAGCAGGCTTTCGATGATGCCATCGCCGAGCTTGACTCTTTGTCCGAGGAGTCTTACCGCGACAGCACGCTCATCATGCAGCTGCTCCGCGATAACCTTACTCTCTGGACCTCGTCCGACTCCGGCGAGCCTGAGGGTGCTGCTGCCGCCGGTCAACCCGAGGCGGAAAAGAAGGAGGAGGAACCCAAGGCCGAGGAGCCTAAGGCTGAGGAACAACCCGCTGCTGCCTCCTAAGTCGCTGGTGTGACGATTGCTTGATATCACAAACCCCCCCCGCCCCCCCCCTTTTTTTTTCCCTCTCTCTTGGCTACGTCCTCACGAGATGGGGCTTGACGATGTAGTTGCTCCCGAAAAATGCGTACAGTTTTGTACACTGCGAGGGGATGCACTTGCCCGAGGCTATCGGGTTGATACATACGACTCGTTCTAGTACTTCGGTGCACAGGGCATGCATGGAATAGGGATGTGGTCTGAAGGAAGGAAAATGTATTGGCGTGGATTTGGAGCTAACTGGTGCGCAAATTTGGGGGGAGAACGTTCTTGGAAGAAGCTTCTTCTTATCTGGCACATGTCGACCGAAGAGCCATGTCATCCCAGGGCAATATCTCCACTTTCTTTTTTGTGTCCCGTCTCCTGTTCCACCTGCAATGTACTCTCTTTCCTTTTCACGGCCTCAGAATATTTCATTCGACCTCCCAATTCACCTCTCTTCCCTCTTCCCCTTCCCCTTTTGCCCTACACCCCTTGCCTGCAGGTTTCGGCTCATCCCAATGCTTTTGTATCCCCATTTTCCTATGATGTTTTTGTTCGGTTCTCGTATTAGTGGTTTAGTCACGCGACCTCGGAGGGGAGGAGTGTTGCTTTTACCCCAATGGCTTCGGCCCATGTCAATTACGTCCCTAAAGACCAAAAAAGACATAAAGACACCACATCCATTTAGTGCGGGCCGAAAGGCGATGGTAACTGGTGCTCGGTGAGATGCGCTCACGAATCTGTCTGCAGTGTATAGTAACTCAGGTGCAGACTGACTGAGACACCGACTGAACCGACCGATTACGTGATGGTCTCTGAGAACACTCCCAGTGGTTGAGTATATAATATAGCAGATATTTGCCCATTGATGTAGGTCGTTTGATTGGCCCTATAGCTGATATCAAGCCCCACGATCGTTCATACAAGGGCAGCAGGCTTTCTTCCCCTGGGGATATACATTCCACTGCATTGTATTACCCTGAAAGAGCTATGATTTCGTAATCTTCAGACCTCGTTTGCTTTACGTATCGTCCCTATATTGAACACCAGGCAAAGATATAAAAACGACTATCGTCGCAGACATTGGTCTTTCGGGCCTATTATAAGGGCTCCATGGTTCTTTGCACAGCAACCAAGGCATTTGGCTGCTTAAAGTGCATCCACTGTTCGTTGCGGCTCTCTTCTTAATAGTCCGGCGCAACGCCTAGCTGCCCACCATAACACTACGCATGAGCATCGGCCTTTGTGCGGTAGGTCAAAGCTTTTCTATGCTGTTCAAAGCATGCTCTTTGGAATTTACGTGGCATAGACAGGGCCTGGCAGAAGTGCAGTCCTGTAACTCGCTGCTGGCTCGGGACAGACTAGGGCCCTGGGCCAAGCGTACCTTATTAAGAGTATCTTTGTGGTTATATGGTTCATTCTTCCTCCACTATATATATCCCTTCGTTATCCTTGTTTTCGTTCTGCTTTGCTTTTATGCCTAGAAGCGAAGTCGAATATGTTCCGGGAGGGAGGATGTAAGGGCAAGAGTATTATCGCTCACGCTTGCCCTGGAGTTGTGGTCTTTTCTGGGCTTAATGCAGCCCTCATCCAGACTGTCCTGTGTATGCTTTGTTCTTGCTAAGAATGAAAGGCAGCGGGTAATTTTGTGCAGGATCTTAGGAAGAACATTGCCAGGGAGGTGTAAACTGCTGCTTTTATTCCCCGTGTTTTCGGCCATAAAGGCCGGAGCACCCAGACGTGCGCAGGTATGGCAGACAGGGAATGAGTGACCTCGGGCCTGCATATTTTCCATTTCTCCTGAAGAGATCGAGTGGCTTGGTTGGTTGTCGCCGATATATGTGTAGATGCCGTCAATGCTTCTTGTACAACCATCGACCGCAATATTCTGTGGGTATCTCTTCCGGAAGACGGAACCCAAGCCTTTATCACCACCCCGCTGAGCAGCTAGGGACGGTAGAGATCTTGTCGCACAGCTGCACTCGGCGGCAGATAAGGCAATTTCGTGGCGCCAGGCATCGATTCTCATGCGGCGCTTGGGAGAGATCAGAGTAGCTGACAAGGGCAAGGCGAGGATGTCTGAACGGCGGTTAGGGGACAGACCCGAGGCGAAGGTGTCCCTGTATCGGTCTGTTGTTGGTGTTGTTGTGAAATGGGCAACAGAACTGCCCAGACACACGGGGTGGTTCATTGCGCCCTAGGAGGCCGATAGAAGATGAGGGTTCTTGAAGTTGAATAAGGGTGTTGCAAGTTTGGAGATCCGGAATGTTTCAGTCCCATGTTTAGAAGAATGTGCGCCACGCCTGGATGATTATGACCGAGTCAATATATGAGGGACCCCGAGGAAGATGCAGATGCCGTCATGGAGCTTCTGGAAGAGGAGCACCGCCAATAGGGGGTATGCGAATTGGGCTTTCGTCGAGTGGGTGAGCTTCGTGGACAGACGATGGCCGCTTGCATGTCGATCGAACCAGCCAAGATAACTGAGCTCTCGGAATTGTAAGTGTGCAGTCGTAAGACCGGTGAATGTTGCCCATGCAAAGTGACCCAGAATGATATCCAAAACCAGCGACTCCGTATATTGATGAGCTGTCGGTGTAAGGGTGCGCCCGAGGACCATATCTCGGCTAGCCACCTAAATGAAGTTGACGAGGCAATGAATCACTGATTTCAATGCTAACTAGCGGCTGGTTCTTTTGGGCGAACTTGTTGAGTCAAGTGATGGTAATTTCGAGAACCCATACTTCGTAAAGATATTGCCAAATATTTAGCCGAGTACAGCAACAGGGTGAGATATAATGGGACGGGAGGAAACGATATCTACCAGCAGATAAGGCTAGATGTTGTTCCTCTGGTCATTCAATATGGAAAGAGAGAGACGTCTCATAGACGACGGGGTGGGCAAGGGGTGATCGTCTTGAGGACATATGTAAGGTCGGTCCGGTGTCTGACCTTTTCCCAGCAAAGGCGTAGTGATTGTTGTACCTATGGAGTATGGCATCTGACAGGGAATATATGAGGTATCCAGGTACCTAGGGGCAGGCAGATCACAGGTCATCAAGGTATAAGAAACCTACCTAAGGAGTGGTAAGTACACTTGTGAATTACGTCGTAGAGGCACACGAGGCGTGTTCTTGTAAAGTTTTGAAAGTCGAATTTAAAAGTACCATGATAGTTAAATCATTGCCTCGAGTTGTTTAAGGTACCTTAGGTACCTACCAGGTAAGTACCTGTAGGGAAGGCAAGGAAGTATCTTGACAGCATGTGAACCTTTTCAAGCCGCAGGTGGTGTAGTGAGTGTCCTGCAGGTTGGTCTGGAACCCCCCCCCTTGTGGTTGCGGTTTCCGTCTCTGACGTGAAGCTAAGGGAAAAGCCACCCGATTGGCTTCTGACCCCCTCAACCCCCCTCCCGCGTCCCAAACGACATCCCAACACATCCATCATCAAACTTCGAGAGACGGGTTCTCGTCTATTCCTCGGCGGCTTATCTGACTAGGCCTCCTGGTTGCTTCCATCCCAACTTTTTTTCTTCTACCCGTTAGATCGTCTTCGCTGCAATACGGAGCAACTCTAGAAATCCGGGGGAAGCCAACCCCTACACCTGTTCAGGTTCATGACGTGCAGAAAAGCTTCATTCTTAACGCCAAGATAGCAAAATCTTTGTTTCATCTCGGGCGGCGCAATCCTGTTCAAACCTTTTTTCATCAGATCCCATCCCGTGTCTTGTCCCCTGCATCGCCTGCAAGAATGTAGTCGTTGAGTCGTCCATCATCTACCATGTCACATCAACCCAAAAATAAACGCGCTGCAAAGTCATAGGGTTGCCAGGCTTTTCCCCTTTTATGCTTTATGTGCCGGCGTCAAAGTCTCCCAGCTATCCAAGTCACGAGGTCCTTCATCCTCCAAAGAGTCTAACAGATCGACCGGTCCCTGTTTCTGTCCTCGTGCTATTGCCAAGGGTTTAGGAGGTGCTGCTGGCGCTCGTTTGCCCACAGACCCCCCCACTATGTTCCGGGCAGGCAACGGCCGAGTCCGGTCGCCGCCGTTGGGATTTGGAAATCCCGTGGACGCCCTGGCCGGAGGTTGCGGCTTGGCATCGCCTTCTGGTCCAGGACCTGTGCGATGGATGGCTACTGGTGAATGGTCCATTGACGATGCGGATGCGAGGTGCAGGGGTTTCCTCGCGATTGGCGGTGCCGGTTTATGCTTCGAATGGGGCGAAAGCTGGGACAGCTCAGATAAAGCCGACGAAGGCCGCGGCGGGGGTGCTGGAGCCGGCGCCACCTTGTTGAAAGACATGTTGGAGGCAGGAGACTGTGCCGCACTCATTGCGCTCGCAGTAGCTCCTGTTTGCCTCCGAGGAGGGGGCGGAGGTGGAGGAGTGCCACTCGTGGGCGACTCCGCTGACGCTGTATCGTCTCTGATGTGTAGACGCCCGGCTCTGGTGGGCAGCGTGGATGCGTCAAAAGCGGGCGGCAGCTTGCGCGCTGCTGGATTCGATGTCGACGGCGTCAGGAGATCATGAGGGGCGGGGACGTACTCGAATGGCGATGTCGACAGAGTCGTCGAAAATGAATCCACTCTCGATCTCGGTACTGTCACCCAGTCGGCCTCCGAAGTTGGACTGAATGGATTGGATGGCCGGTTCGGGTTTAATACCACTGCCTGACCATCTAAAGCTCGGGGCGGTTTGATGTCGGCCCTCGCAGGCTGTCTATTGTCCAGCCACCATTTCTGCCGATCCGAACTTGCAGGTGGCAGGCCGGGCTCAATGGCATCATACCCGATGAGATCCTCGTCTTCCGTGTCGTCCGTGTCCAGGTGGGTTGAATCGCCCACTTCGGTCCTCCGCCGCTGATATAGCTCCTGGCTGATACGCTCTCGGAGGGCCTCGTCGATGATATTCACCGTGCATTGGAATATTGCATACACCGGCCGATGATCCGAGAATTTCAACGGAGCCGAGTTGTACGCGATTTGGCGTAAATTCTGTCCCTTTCGCAAAATTCGGTCCGTCCACGCGGGTATTCGTGCCTTTTCCCTAGAAGGATGTGAGCATGGCGACAACCCGGTTTCCAACCTGCCGTTGTTTACTCACGATGTATCGTAGTTGTCGGTCCCCACATCGAACTTATATGTTGGGGGGAACGTAATGCGAGCTTCGGAATAGAACGGGAAAGCCAATCCCGCAACCATTTGGAGGTTCAGCTGCGACAACATCAACATCGCCAGTCCAGTCCATTTACCTTTAGCCCGTAAGATCGAAATTATCTCACCTGGTCATTCTCGTACAGGGTTGACAGGTCCCCCTTCTTCACAAGAGCTCGAGCTACTTCGGGGCCGAGGCCGATGCGGTAATTGAAGTCGCCGAGCCAAACCACAGTATCTAGAATTGTACAGAAAGTTGGTTAGTCCGCGTCTTATGAGAAGGAAAGGCCCGGATAGTATGCAAAATAAAGGCGTACCGTGGTCATCAATGCTTCGGTTGCGCTGGAACCGCAGACCATGGTGTATGGTGGCGTAGTCCCTGTTTCTCTCGTCGTAGTTGGCGAAGCCGGCGGCCAGATGCGCCGTGACAAAACAGATGGGAGTACTCGCATAGTCAAACCGAATAGCAACCGCGCCCTTGTTGCCAGCCATCCCAGACAGTCCTGTCTTCTTGACACTGCCCTCGACATTCTTGATCTGTCCCAGAGCCGAAGCCTTGACGAAGATGCACAAGGCGGCGCCGACGAGCTGTCCGCTCCGAAGCAGAACATAACGCTCCCCGCCTTTCTGTTGGTAGTGAGCATTAAGCGTTCGCTTCACAGCCTTCCCCCACAGCTGCTTCCTCGTGGGATCACTGTTCATGATCTGCTGCGGGCTGAGCTCTACAATTTCCTGGAAGCCGACCGCGACGATTTCAGGTTGGCAAGATCCCAACTCTTCAGGACACAGCCATGCTGTAAGATCCGTGTCTATGCCCTCTGTTCGTCCGTTCAAGTTGAATGTCCCAACCCACCTTTCGGCCACATTAGCAACCGCAAGCAAGCACGGGGAGAAAAGTTGGATATAAAAATAAAAATAAAAAGCGCAGGAAAAAGGGAAACGCGAGCCACTACTTACATCGTTATTTCTTTGGAGGATGAAAACTCGAAACTCCTCTTGTTGAGCTCCATGGTGACATAGTCACTGATGGGATCAAATAGGAGAACCGGCACTTGGTTAACCAACCGACCAAGCAGACGGTCGATGGTCGTTTGTTTCGCGGCATCGGTAAAGTTGTTATGGTATAGTCGCTGCATAGACTTGCGCATGTCGGCCACAGCACCTGCCAAGGACATTTTCCCGTGCCGGGTATACGACGACTTGAGCGCACCCGTTCCGGCATAGATTTTGGACAGCGCATCTCCGTTATCCGCCCACAGGGTCGAATGCCGCATCCAAAAGTCTGCAGTCGCATATTCTCCCCTCTGGGCCAAGAACGATTCTCCTGCCATCTGGGATATCATGGTCTGGATGAGGTTCGTCCTGTCCAGGCAGTCGAGACAGTTGGTGCGGAAGACCCCTTCTTGCTCGAGCACGACCACCATTCGGCCGTGTCCCTCGGAGACGCTCACATCATCGCTCGGGTCATCTGTTTCCTCGGCCAGGAAGTAAGCGAACGAATCGGTCGAGTTCTCAATGTACCTCCCGATCTCTCGCGCGGCTTCATATCCAGCGGCCCCTCTCGTCTCGGCGTGGAAGTCATAATTCGTTTCTCGGAGCAGGGCATGGTCTCTCGAAGTGTTGGGGCCCACTTCGCTCAGGGGGCAGTACTGGACGGCACGGTGGTATAGCCTGCTGAGCTGCGCCTCTCCGGGCTTCTCTGCGCTGAGCAGATTGATGACGTGGACAGCGCCGTAAGCGTGCTCGAGCTCCTCGAAATGCTTGTTGAAAGCAGGCTGTGTACCTTCGGGCGACCTGGTGATGGTAATGTTCTGTTTGCCGGGGAGTAGGTCTGCGGCCTGTTCCCAGAAGACCGGGACGGATCCACGCACTTGGCCGTACGAGAAGAGCGTGCCCCTAGGACTCCAGTAGAGAGTCTCGGTCTCTACAAAGTTGGCGACGTTGCCGTCGTCATCTATGCCACGAGCATTGAACCTGGTGCCGGCTCTCCGACAAGACAGTCTCGATATGACGGTCAGGTACGAAGGCAAGCCGGTTGTGGAGGTCCTAAGAGGGGCGCTGGTCTGGGGAATGGCCATGGTACGGCAAAAGCCCCGGATGGCAGACGTCAAGATTCTCGACGAGTCGAGGGCTTCCCTCTCGGTGTGGATCAACCGGGATCTGAACTGCACTAAAGGGCTGATCATGAAGGAATTCCAGAGGAAAGAATCGTCAAAGTTGTCAATCTCGAAACTCGTTGAGTTGATGGGCCTACCACACCCAGTCAGCACTTGAAGAGTACGGATTACTACCAAAGAGAATAAACGAGAGAAAGAAACAGCAGCCCCGCCAGCTTACCGGTCCTGCAACCTGTTTGTCAGGTCAAAGTCGGTGCTGTAGTAGAAGGTCCCGTTGCCCAGGAGCTTCCGGAGATCCTGGCAGGGGTGTTCTAGGGTGACCTCTCGTCGGCTCAGATTCTGCCCGTAGGGTGACGGAGGGAAAGTAGAAGCGGCATCCGACCATTCGGGATCCAAGCTCTCCACCGCGACGACATCGTCCCAACGGTCGCTGTTCAGGCAGAAGAACGACACGCTTGCTATTTTTTCCACTGTCTCGCCGGGTCGCAAGGTGGCCACCCTGGTGGCATGGCTGATGACGGAAATGAACACGTCCCCATCGACGGATATCAAGCCTAACGTCCCAAAGATGGGACGTGATATCAAGGGGCGGTAGTCGGACAAGGTGTTTTCGGATCTTGGCGTGAATTCGACAATACACTTGGACACGGTTGCGTCTGCTCCCGGGCCGCGGGAGCGACCGCCTGGCACGGGAGACGACTGGTAGCCGTTCCCTCCATAACCGTGACCGTCGCTGGAGGTCGAGGCGCTGTGTCGAAATATGAGGGCATGGGTGGAGGTGACAATGGCAACGGACCTGTGAGGATAGTCGCGTATATATAGCTTGCTAGACTTCTCGGGCGCCAGAGTCTGGCCAGACCAAGGCGCAGTTGCCGAGTAGTCCATTTGTGAATGTCGCGCGAGGACTGGAGGATTTAGGGGAGAAGCATGTCCCAGAAACGGTGGGATACGAGACGACTTCCGGTTTGTAGAAAGGTCATGGGATTATCTGTCGGATCATCTGTCGGGTTGAGGGTGTCAGGACGAGCGAAGTTGAGCGATTGAAATCTACTTCGTACTCTCGGATCAAGGATGGGCGTCTTCGATGGCGCTGGTGGAGATGACGGCTTAGTACCCCGAAAACGCACCCGAGAACACAAGTTAAAGTGAACAGTGGCGGCGCATTTACGGTGATACGCGGTTTGGCTGCAGGCTGGATACTGTATGGGATGTCTGTGGCTATGGGTGTTGTTGCGGCGTGGTTAATGCCACGCGACGTTGGGAGTGTGATTGATGGTGGTGGTCAGTCGGGGTTTGGTGGTGGTTATGACGTTCGGTCTCCGCTGCAGCTGCTGATAACAGCGCCTTACCAGACTACTAGTGCCTAATTTAGTGCCTAAGGTGTGTATACTCTAACACCTGTTATCGCATGGGCAGGACCACGATATGGTCTATAGGGGATCTAGGGGGGATCCACTCCATAACTAAGGGCTCCTGATATCGGGGACTTCGGGCATCAGGATATAATAAGGGTGGATACCGGAAAAGACTGGATATGATCTAAATAATATAGTACCTATAATAGAGTCTTTACTACCTAAATTAAGGGTATAAAAGACTCTTCTAAATATAACTTAATATAATACATACACACGAGATTTCTGCTCTACTAAGTTAATTATTTAAGTGCCTTTTAACGTGCGATAGTTATAAGCCCGGTTTATAACGCCTAAACGATAGATATTAATAAGGCTACCCTTATTCTACTATAAAGAAGTAATCACGTTTATAAAAGTACTCTTAAATAATTACTATTGACTTAATTAGAGTAATTAAGAGATTAATTAATTTACCTATTAATTAACTAACCGATAAACGATAATCTAATAAAGATATCTTCTAACGTATCTAACACCGAATAAAAGGCGGCCGCTATTACCCTTATTAATTAAAGGGACTAGGTAGTTTAGGAGCGCGCCGTACACGGTAAATTAGCCTCCTACTAGGATAATTACCTTAATCTAAAGCTAAGCGATAAGGAGGCTAACGCTTATCTCCTCCCTATACCTATACCCCCTAATATTCGTAAATATAAAGCCCTCGCCGTGGACCTTAACGCGGAGGAGGCTATAGCTATTACCGTCACGGCTACTCTATCTTCTACTATCACGCTAAAGGGCGATAAGGCCACGGATACTATAAAAGCCACGGCTACTATAGCTGCTACCACGGCTACTGGTAAGAAGAAGACGGCCGCCCGCCGTAAGGCTATAGCCACGGCCGTAACGAAAGAGCCCCTAACTAGGATACCCACGTCTATTAACGACCTCTTTAAAAAGGGGCGTACGTATTACCTATAAGACCGCCGCATATACCGCGAGGAAAAGGCAGACTATAACGCGTAGTAGAAGGAATTTAATAAGGTATATTCCTATATTGAAGGAATTATCTACACTATATTATATAACCTCCTCGCTTAGCTATAGAATAATACCATAAATAACCCACGGGCCTAGATTACCCTCCTATATGCGTACGTAGGACTAATACCTATAGACCTCTATAAGGAAGCCTTAGTCCTATACCGATAATATACTACGCCTATAAAGGCTATACCTAAGGATATAAACGCTTAGATAATAAGCTAGAAATAGCGATAATATACTATAAATATATAAGCGTTATAGAGCTATTAAGCGCGGACTATTAGGCGGAAGACGCGTTAAAAGCTATTAGACCTATCGCCTAGGAATAGAGTAATAACTACCTAGTAAATAATTACGATAAGATTACGGAACATAAGCTAACGATTAACGACTTCGTAAAGGCTTTATGTGCGGTTCTTAGTAATATAAAAAGCCTATAATCCACCGCTATAAAGCCTAGAGTCGGGAGAGGCACCTTTAATACCCTTAGGAACCTCCCCGATACTAAGGATACTACTACTACTAATAACGATAATAATAAGAAGCGCCCTTATAGTAACGCGTCCGTAAAGGCTATCCCTCCCGTAATAAGGAGGCTTTATAAGATATACGAAAACACCTATACTACTACCGCTATTAGTATATAAGGCCGGATATACGCCCTTATACCTAGCGTGGCCGTGAAGATATTATAAAGGTTACGGAAAAGAAGATATATTATTATAGTTTTAAAAGCCGCGTGGATACCGCGATATAGAAGAGGCGGGAAGCCTTAGGGGCTATTACCGCTAATAAGATAGAGGAAGTCTAGGAAAATTAACTCTATAATACTACGCCTACTATAGTTTATAAAGACCTGTCCGTCACCGCGACGGGGAGACTAGGAGCCCCCCTAACCTAAGGGGTGGCGTGTTATCGTACGATAACACTATTAAGATTATAATAAGAATAAGGGATATCCCTTTCTATTAACTAAGCCAGAGCGCTATTATACTACGCGATCCTAGACTTAGGATCGTTAATCTATATCTTTAATAATCGAGGCCGTTTTACGGCTGTTAAACTACCTACGGTTAATTTATTAACGCTTTAGGTAGGTACTTATAAGGCTCCTATCCTTAGATATAAAGATATTAAGCTATATATATAATCCCTATTAGGCACGAAGAGGCTATTACGCCTCCGTAACGTCGTATACTATAAGGAATTCGTTACTAATATCATCTTAGAACGCTAGCTACGCCTATAAGGTTACTACTAAGATACCGTAAACGATACTATTATTAGCTCCGCCGATAACCGGCCTATCTATAAGCTACTGGATATCCACGGTTAGTATATAATTAAGCGCGCGGAAGCCACAGCCGCTACCGCGTTCGCGGTCTCAGTAAGGCACCCCCGCGATAACCCGTATAGAAGATCACGATAACCGCGGTAACCGTAGAAGACTATAGTACAACGGTGGTATAAACGCCTCGGCTAGTATAGTACTAATACTCTTATAAAGATCGTTAATGCTATTTAGGGTGTAAAAATAAAGGGACTACGTATAATAGACTATAACGCGTGTGGATAGTCGTAAGTGCCTACGTAGATCCGGCGGATACTATCCTTTTACCCGTTAAAGCCCGGAGAGGCCTTAGCTATTAATTTGCACGATCTAAAACAGTCGGAATCGCTAGGCGGCCTATATAAGTCTATTATATTCGTTATAGACGTATTTATAGGTTATACGTAGGATTACTACTTATAGAAAAGAGACTAAGGCTCTATCCTACACGCGTTAAAAGACGTTTTTACTCTACTTAAGACCTAATTCGATATTAGGCCACGTATCCTATAAGCCGATTCTAAGATATTTTAGTACTTAGAAGTTATTACTTTCCTCGCTGCTAAGGGGGTGGAAGGTTAGCCGTTAGTATTATATTTATAGGATTAAAACGGCGTTATAGAACGGATTAGAGGTATCGTTAAAAGGAGGGCGAGAGCTATAAGAATTAAGGCTAATCTGTCTATATCAATCTAGCCTAAGATCTTTAAGACTACTATATATCTATATAATAGGACGCTATAATATATTAACGACTAGCGAATACTATATAAAGGCCGATGCGGCCGTTAACCTAACCTTACGCACCTATAAGTATACGGCTATAAAGCCTTTATAGAAACGCGTGATACCTAAGCTAAAAGGAACCGCCTATAAAGGCTAAAACCGAAGGTATAGATCGGTTATCACGTCGGATACTAATCCTTAAATAGCTTCCGTATTTAGCTATTATACTTAACGGATATTATCACTATAAGAGATATGGTCTTTAAATAAAGACGAGATATTTAACGGCAGGATTAAAACGCTATAAGCTATAGCTTCCGCTAAGGAAATCAGGGAACGCCTATAATCTATCCGTATCACCTAATCTAATAAGACCGCGAATAGGCTACTATTAAGGGGTATAGCCGTAGACGTATTAGATCATAAGTCGGAAGACTCTAACGCTACTATTATTACTACGGGTAAAGGCGACGCTACCGCTATTACTATAGATAAAGACGAGGCTATTGCTATTATTACGAGAGAGGCTATTACTATTACTATAGACTATACCGCTATTACTATAGGCACTACTATTACTACGGATACTAGTATTATTATAGGAGAAGACTATACTACCGTTATTACTACGGGTAAAGGCGATACTACCGCTATTACTACGGATAAAGGTAAGGCCGTCGCTATTACTACGAGAGAGGCTACTACTATTACTATAAATAAGGTTCTAAATCTATAGCCTAATAACTAGGCTATAGATTTAGAACCTTATAACTCTAACGCTACCGCTATTATTATGGGAGAGGCTACCGCTATTACTACAGACACTTCACGGTTTACCACTACAAGGTTTAAACCGTTTCCTACGCCTTTAATATCCCCGGAAGATCCCGTACGCGTATTCTTTATAGCATTAGCGGTAGTTAGGGGAATTAAGGTGGAAGAACACGATAACCACTAACGGATAGCCGCGGATACCCCTAAGGGGTACCCGTTAGCCGTACACCCGTCGGCTGCGCGCCTATCTATCGCGAGAATTATCGTAAGTCTATACACGACTAAGAAGGTCTAGAATAATAACGCCTAAATCGCGTTCTTTAACGCTAGCAGGACTTATAACCCTACACACGCGAGGAAGTAAGCTATTAATAACGGCGACGTCGGTGCTATAGATTCTACTCCCTCTAACACCTTTTAGCCACTATCGTATATAACCCGCGAGGATCTCCCGCCTCCACTAAAGCACCACCGCGATATACGCCTTTACCCGTTACGGGAGCGGTGGTTATAGGCTAAGGGGGAATACCTTAAGGGGCACCGATAAATAGGCTGCTAATAGGAGGTAGGTGGTGATTAGGCTAATAAGTAATAAGTCCTCGCCTATAGATAGGTATACACCTATAAATTTAATAAGGAGGGCACCCTCC